AGGAAGGAAGGAAGGGAAGGAAGGAAAGGAAGGAAGGAAGGAAATAGGGAGGGAGGGAGGAAGGAAAGGAGGAAGGAAGGAAGGAAAGGAAGGAAGGAAGGAAAGAAAGAAAGACTGGCAGATGTGTTTTCATCCTAGATAATAATGATAATAATAATACTATGAATATTAAGAATAATAATTGAAGAAAAAAGAAGACATGCATTAACCACTTGGTACAAGATACAGTTATGAACAGTATCACAGCACACACGCACGCTCACGCACGCACACACACGCACACACACGCGCATGCACAAGCACACACACACATGCACGCACACACACGCACACACACATGCATGCATGCACAAGCACACACGCACATGCATGCACATGCACACACGCACATGTGCACACACACACATGCAAGCACACATGCACACGCACACACATACATGCACACACGCGCGCACAAGCACACACGCACATGCATGCACGTGCATGCACGCACGTGCATGCACACGCACATGCATGCACACACACATGCATGCACAGACACGAGCACACACACACGCATACATACACACACGCGCACACACACTGACTGTCGATCGTGTCTTGCAGGCTTTTTGGCGTCACGGGGAACTGCGCGGCCTGCAGCAAGCTCATCCCCGCCTTCGAGATGGTGATGAGGGCCAAGGACAACGTGTACCACCTGGACTGCTTTGCCTGCCAGCTCTGCAACCAGAGGTGAGCAGCCGCCAGGGTGCTTCCTGTCGGCCTCTGTCTTCACCCAAGCTGGTGGAGCACCTGTCTGTCTTTCTAGCACTCCTTGGGGGAGCACAGAGCGGTAGGAGCAGGTTTGTATACAGCGATCGGGGAGCACGTGTTTCCGTCTTCCTTGCTGCATGTGTTTCCCTGATGGTTTGTACACACACACACACACACACACACACACACGCCAGTACTGAGGATTGAACTCAGGTCCTGGGCACCACCCCTGAGCTCTGGTGCTCAATGCAATCGCTCTACCACTTGAACCACAACTCCATTTTTGGGCTTTTTGGCTGGTCCATTGGAGATCAGAGTCTCATGGACGTTCCTGCCCCGGGCTGGGTTTGAACCACGATCCTCAGATCTCAGCCTCCCGAGTAGCTGGGATGACAGGCGGGAGCCATTGACACCGGTTAGTCCTTGATTCCATGTGATTCATTTTACTCCGTCTTCCGTGCGTACTTTTCTAAGTTTCCTGAACGAATCATGAAATAAGGATCCGCGTTAGAAAAGCAACGTGGTAAATGTCACCCAGGGCCTCTGGAAACATCTGGATTCTAACCTGGCTGCGTGACCACCAGCTCCACTTTCCCATTTGCCCCGGGGGGGAGCTAAGTGGTTCGACTGAAGAACTTCATTCCACTCCAAGACTCGCTTTGTTTCCGGCGAAAATCCAGATCTTCGTAGACCACCGTAAGCTTCGTGGCCATTCTAGTTTACCAAGCACACAGACGCAGCTAGAGGAGAAAGCTTACGAACTGTAAAGGAGACAGAGCAGTATCGACCCCACCCCCTCCGGTGACTTTTCTAGAAAAAAAAAACCATTAATATTTTAGTGAACAAATCATTGGGAGTGTGTCTACGTGGGCGTGACAAGTTATACACAAAAACTACTGTACAGATTACACATAGATAGGCTCTTAAAAGAAAAATACAGCCGGGCACCAGTGGCTCCCGCCTGTCATCCCAGCTACTCAGGAGGCTGAGATCCGAGGATGGCGGTTCGAGGCCAGCCAGGGCAGGAAAGTCTGTGAGACTCTGATCTCCCATGAACCACCAGAAAACCGGAAGTGGCGCTGTGGCTCAAGGGGTAGAGCACCAGCCTTGAGTGAAAGAGCTCAGGGACAGTCCCTGGCCCTGAGTTTAAGCCCCAGGACTGACACAAGGAAGGAAGGAAGGAAGGAAGGAAGGAAGGTAGGAAGGAAGGAAGGAAGGAAGGAAGGCAGGCAGGCAGAGAGGGAGGAAGGAATGCCAAGTGCTGTTGTCCACACCTGTAGTTCCAGCACCCAGAAGGCCAAGGCAGGAGGCTCTGTCTGGGCTACTAAGGGAGGCCTTATTTCAAGCCAAATTTACAAAATAAAATGAACAGGAAGGAATCTTGATTTCTGATATCTTTTAAAAACTCTTTCCATCTGAATCAGACACCACCACCACCTCCCGATTTTAGGGGCGCAAGGTACGGGTGCACCCCCTCGCTGCTCAGCCCCAGGGGCAGGTGGTCGGCTCACTCCCTTTTTCAGTACTATTACGTGGAAAACGGCGAGGACCCACAAAGGAACTGCGGTTTGAATGGAGGACCCTGGCGGGAACTAACACCCATCCCCAATCAGCCCAGATCAACCTGTTACTCTCCTGCCAGAAAGTCACCAGACGACACACACCCACGTGACCTGATTCTTCCCCCAAGAATCCCTGCTCCACCTTGGCGTTGTTACCACGAGATGACATAGAATCCCAAGGACGCATCACATTAATGCCGTATTGTCTCTCGCATTATGTTTCTGTTACAGTGATAGAATCCTCATAGACACACACACACATATATATAATATGTATTTATATAGATAGACATGCTCGTGTATTTGAGACATCATCTCCTCCAAGCTGAGCACCACCAGAAGGAATCGGAGGTGCTGGGGGGCTCTTCACAAATCACCCATCCATTTGATTTTTCACCCCAGAAATGCACCTGGCCTCTCGCATGCAGAGCACAGGCCTGGTCCCCGCGATTCAAATGGCACCTCATATATTTTCCCTGTGTCTTCCAACGCCCGCGTGTTCTCATGGCCCTGTGGGCATTAATGCCGGTTATGCACAATTAGCACTAAGTTATTGTCTTGTCATTCGTGGGGGGGGGGAGGACGGGGAGGGGAGGCAGATCCTACAAGACCAACTTCTCCAATCAACTGAACTAGCTCATCTTTGCCAGCCAAGAAGAACAAGACAGATTCCGCACCCCTCAAGGTAGAAGACACCGAAGGTGGGGGACATAGGAGAAGTCTCTTTCTCCCATCAGGGGTGACTGGAAAAAGCTCTCCTTCTGGTCAAACCGTATTGGAAAACGATGTGCACCCAGAGACATAGTACCTGTTGTAATCCAGGTGTAACCCCTCTCTGTTCAACCACTGGAAGATGGAGAGAGCCGGTGGCTCACACCTGTCATCCTAGCTGGGGTCAGAAGATGGAGGTTGGAGGCCAACCCCACCCCCCACCCCAGGGTGGGAAAGTCTGTGAGGCTCTTAATCTAAAAAAAAAAAAAAAACCAAGCCAGAAGTAGCGCTGTGGTTCAAGTGGTAGAGCGCCCAGCCTGGAGCCAGGGAAGGGCGTTTCCGCCGGCAGCCAGCGGATGGGCAGGGAAAGGCAGCAAGGGTAAGTATGGAAGCTCTCTCCGGCACACGCCCCCTCCTCTCTCTCTCTGTTTGTCCAGTGTCCCCACCTTTGACATGTCGACATTCCCAGCAGCTCCTCACTTCACAGCACATGAAGGGTGGGGGGGGGGTCGGTGCACATGAAGGGGGGGGGTCGGTGCACATGAAGGGGGGGTCGGTGCACATGAAGGGGGGGTCGGTGCACATGAAGGGGGGGTCGGTGCACATGAAGGGTGGGGGTCGGTGCACATGAAGGGGGGGTCGGTGCACATGAAGGGGGGGGTCGGTGCACAATCTGTGCTTCACGATGGCTCCCCAACCGCAGAAAGCTACGGGATAGAGAGGCTGGAAGGACGGGTTCGTAAGGTCAATATGTGTAAGGATGAGGAGCTTCTCTGACTCGGGTCTACTGCTGCAGAAGGCCACACTGCTACCATTCAGTTATACACAATCATCCATGTTATCATATACCAATATGTTATCATACTGTACTATTGATATAATATAAATTATACACAATCATACCTGTTATCATATTATAGCAATATGATATCATACTATACTATTTATATAATATAAATTATACACAATCATACATGTTATCACATTATTACATGATAGTATCATAATGTATTATTCATGTCATATAAATTATACACAATCATATATAGTATAATATTATCATACTATACTATTTATATAATATAAATTATACACAATGATATATATTATATTATATTATCATAATATACTATTTATATAATATAAATTATAGGCAATCATATATTATAGTATCTTATTTTATCATAATGTATTATTTATATAATATAAATTATACACAATCATATATATTATAAACTTATATTATTTTATCAGAATATATTATTTATATAATATAAATTATACATAATCATATATATTATTAAATTATTATATTATTTTGTCATAATATATTATTCATATAATATAAATTATACATATGTTATTAAGTTATTATATTATTTTATCCTAATATATTATTCATTAATATAAATTGTACATAATCATATATTATATTATGTTAACATACTATATTATTTTCTCATAACATGTTATTTATATCATATAAATTATATATTATAAATTATATTATTTTCTCATAATTTAATATAGTACATAAATTATACATAATATATTATTTTCATATATATTATTTAATAATATTTATTCTATCATATATTTTATATTTTTATTATAATTATACAATCATAATATATTATAAATAGTACATATTTATATATGATAGATACATGCATATTATATATATTTAGTAATGTACTGTATATAATATGTATCTGTATATATAAAACGCATACACACACACACACACACACATATATATACAGATCTCTCCAGAATTAATTCACTGTTAAATGTACTGGAAACAGCACTGACATTTATTTCTGACCTTAATTATGTCCACAGTGTCAGCCATGGGGAAATGACACAAAAGATTTGAAGAAGAAGAGAAAAAAAAATACAAAAAGAACCCCCATTAAAACCAGAGCAATCTGGCACATTAAACAATGCTTGATGCAAATAAAAAGCCGGATTTCTGCAGGGGGGCACACTGGTTGTATTTGCCTCCTCCCCCTGTGAGGAAGCTCTCCCAACTGACTCAGCTGGAAAGCTGGGCGCGGTGGAATTTACGGTGTCAGAGTTGGTGGATTTGGTGCAGACAAAGAAGAAGCTACAGGCCAAAGCACATGACTCTTCACTGTGTTTCTTAATTCCTAGGCCCCAGGAAACATTCGAGAAAGCCTGGAATCAGAATCCGTTCTTTGGTTCATTTTAATGCTTGGGTTTTTTTTTCATTTTTTTTAACCTTCTAACCATAGCTCGTCCATAAGGAAAGCCCCAGAATAAAACCAAGGAGTAATGAGTGTTGCTTTGAAAATTTCACTTCAGGGCTGGGAAGGTGGCTCAGGGGTAGACTGCTCACCTGGCATGCGTGAGGCCCTGGGTTTGATTCCTCAACACCACATAAGCAGACAAAGCCGGAAGTGGCGCTGTGGCTCAAGTGGTAGAGCGCCAGCCTTGAGCTGAAAAGCTGAGGGACAGCGCCCAGGCCCAGAATTCAAGCCCCACGACCGACAAAAATAAAAATAAAAATTTCACTTCAGTGAGTGCAAATACAGACTGATTATTTTCTTCTTACCATTGGGGAGAGAGACAGAGACAGACAGAGATAGAGACAATGACAGAGAGACAGACAGATACAGAGACAATGACAGAGAGAGACAGAGACAGTGACAGAGACAGAAGAGAGGGGAGAGAAAGAGAGAAAAGGAAGGAAAGAGACAGAGGAGAGAGAGAGACTGGAGAAGCAGGAAGAGAGAGGAGCAAGAAAAGAAGAGATAAAAGAAGCCCCTGTCACTCGGGTCCAGTGTGTGTTCACCTTAACCGCCCCCCCATACCTGCACACCCAGGGCTTGTCCATTGCTGGCCAGCATGTTTTACCCACTGAACCAGTTGGCTGCGTTCTTGTCCTGAACATCAGTGACTTCCCTGAACCCAGCTGTTAAGACTACCTTTTGGGGGGGCGTGGGAGGGAATGGGGGGTAGCATTCCCAGGGGCCCCTTGTACAAGGAAAATAGCACCTGGGTGTGGGTACCACGCTCACACCTATGTATCTACAGCCGGTGCTTCACTGGGGCCTGGTGTGGTTTGGTTTGCAGGTTTTGTGTCGGAGACAAGTTCTTCCTGAAGAACAACATGATCCTGTGCCAGACGGACTACGAAGAAGGCTTAATGAAAGAAGGCTACGCACCCCAAGTCCGCTGACCCGCCCCCTCCGCACCCCCTCCCTCCACCAAGAACGGCTCAGCGCTGCGTTCCTTCCCTCTGTTCATGTATATAAAATTCAAAGCCAGAACCTTCTGCCTCCAGGTGGACTGGCTCCTTGGGAAAAAACCTGGACTGCACCTGTCACCCAGTGAGAAGGCCTTGATCAGAGTTGATTGATCATTAATATTATTATTATTATTATTAAAGGAAAAGAAAATGTAATGTACACATGGCTGGAATCTTTGGGTTTTTTGCCTGCCATTGGTTTGGGGTTTTGTTTTATTTTAATTTGTGCGTGTGTGTGCGTGTGCGCGCGTGTGTGTGTGTGTATCCCTTGGCATGAGATGTTTATTTTGGACTATTGTACATACTGTATTGTAATATTTGAAGCACAAATGTAATACAGTTCTATTGTGTTACCGTTGGTGTCGCTCGCTCCTTGACTGTCTTTAGGACCAACCATGTCGCACACTTCCTCCCGGGTTGGCATTCTAGAACAATCGGTGTGCACCCTTCTGTGGACTGCTTTTGACCCCTCCTGGTTCTTCTAGGTGAGCTGTAATGTTCCAATAAGGAACCGAAGGGTAGATCTCACTTAGAATACTCAGAGAAGGCACGTCTATTAATATTAAAAAAATTATCTAAAACCACTGAGAGTAAAAAAGGAAAAAGAAAAACACACACACAAAGCATTTTGTTACCACCCACCGTGATTTAAAAGTCACTCTCCCGTCAGCTATATTCAAGGGGTTAGAGGTCAGCATTAAAAATAAAAATAAATGCATTAAAAAAAATCTCATCTGGTGAAAGCGCTTTCCGTTTATGCCAACGTAAAAACAAAAAGTGCGGGTGTCAGAATCTCTTGCCAGCGTCACAGTGACTTGCTGGATATTTTTTCTCTTTCTTCTTTATCTAGGCAACAATGCTGCTTGGAATTTATTTATTTTTTTTAATTTTCCAGACACACTTCCTATTTGAGCTAGTGCCTTTGGGTATGATGTACAAAATAATAACAATAACAATAATAATAATACTCTCCCAAGAGTCTTTAAAAGAAAATCTTTAAAAGAAGAAATGTTGACCACGATAATGAGATAATTTAGTCTTGAACTCAGGGTCTTGGCACTGTTCCTAAGCTTTATCAATTATTATTATTATTATTTTGCTCAAGGCTGGCGCTCTACCACTTGAGCCACATCACCACCCCCATCTTTTGAGCACTAAGAAGAGTCTTCAAGACTTTCCTACCAACCCTGGCTTTGAACCCAGATCCTTAGACTTCAGTCTCCCAAGTAGCTAGGATTACAGGCATGAGCTGAGGAGCCCAGCCCTGATTCTTTACCCTTTCCGGCCTGCTGTGATGTAAGAGGATGAGATTTGCACATCCAAAAGAGACAAAAAAAAAGGGGGGAAAAGGAAGTGGAAGGATTCCACCCGAGGTAGGCCGCCTTGTCTCTGATACACAGGTAATGTAAATGATGGGTGTAAATTGTCTGTCTGTTTCCCTAATGATCTCCTTGCAAATGATCTTGTGCAAACATTGATTCCCCGTCTACCGAAAATTAAAAAAAAAAAAAAATCGTGTCAACCTGGAACACATTTCTCCTAAAAGCAGACCTACTTCATTCTACCTTTCTGAGCCCAATCTCACAACGCCCGCTTCCTCCTCCTGTACGTTCATTTTCGGGTTTTGTTTTTGCTTGTTTTATTAGAACAACTTGGCTTGGATGGAAGACGGAGACTGCCCATCCGTGGCGATGAGCTCCATCTCCATAAAATTATGAACTGAGACGGGAATCATTTTTCCCCTCCATCAGCTGTTCTTTTTATTCTTGTTAGCTCACTGGCCACACACACACACACACACACACCCCAAAAACTAAAACTAAAATTGGCATTTCCGGGCGGAAGGACTGAGCTGATCTAGCCCAGTCCCAGCTGACCGGACACCTCCCCCTGGAGCCTCAGTTTCTCCAACGTGACAAAGCACCTCCCCCTACCCAGACTCCTGGCCACCTCCTTCCCCTCTCTCCTCCTCCCACGGACTTATTTATTATTATTATTATTATTGTTATTACTATTATTATTACCTTTCAGTAGTTGCAACAGAAAAGTGGCCACGTTACCAAGCCATTGGGAAATACAGTGTATCGTATGTGTTGAATAGAAGGGGTAATTCTACCATTCGCCCATTTTAATTGTCCCAACTAAAAAGCACCCCTAGCAAGTGTACGTGGACAGCCCACAGGGGGAAAAAGAAAAACAAAAACAAAACAGAACAAACAGGCACACAAGAACATGGCCTTTCTAAAGACCGGAATCAAATACAGTGAAAACAGGGGTTACGCATACAAAGAAACAGAAACTCCACACCCTGCATTATAGGTACATTGACAACTATAGCAATTCCCTGATCTGCAATAACGACTGTATGTCTAGGACAAGCAGAAAAGGTCAAAGCGACGTCCGCATGACCAGCGAAGAGGATGCTAAGCGAAATGAGCCCCCAAATAGGGACACAAGAGGTTTCCATCTTTCTTCCAGGGTCATTGTTAAATCGGCCACTTATTACCTGTTGGTGGTTATACAAGGTGGTTTTCAATCCAACATGGCTCCTCTTGGAGAACACCCAATCCCTTCCATTTCCACACACAGGAAAAAAAGAAACACCTTTTGCAGTATTTAATGACGGTCCTCTCCGTAAGATGCAACTACACCCAAGAGCAAACATAGGTTCCTCAACGTCCTGGTACCCCATCAAGACGTTATTTTTCCTTTGCTTTGGATGAGCCAGGTTCGTGTAGGTTTGGGAAACGCCGAAAAGAAGGAGAAAAAGAAGAAGAAAGAAAAAACCCACGCTAAATAAAGCACACGGAATTACCAATTAAACTTTTCCCCACTCTCCTAGCGAGTCCTGATGCAGGAAGTATATAAAATAATTCTCACCGCTCCCCCGGGCACCTAAGAAACATCTGCCAGCAATGCGTAGCAGGTGTTAACAATTACACACCCTGAACTTTTAAACATGTCCTTAATTAAAAGAATTCTGGTTGTCGTGGGGGGCGGGGGAGTTCCCACCCAGGAGTGGTAGAGTTCATTCTCCACAGGGGTGTCCAGTAAGGACCACGGCTGCCTTGGTTTACCCTCTGTCTCCCCCCACCTCAGATTTCTGTGCCCCACCCCCAACCTCCCCAAAGACAGATGAATGAATGAACAAGACAGAAAGAGAAGAAAACAGAAAGAGCAACAAAGAAAACCTCTCGTTTCCATTATGCCAGGTTCTGTGGTGGTTAGGCTCAGTGGTCTGGCTCCCCAAAAAGTCTCCTCTTTGGGTGTCACCGTGAAGAATTCTGTTTTCTGAGAAGGAAAAATAAACATTAACATTAAAAAAAAAAAGGCTGCGTCAAATCTGAAGCGATTCCCGTGTCATGTGTCTTGGGTCAAAGATAATTGGGTTCTGAGTTCAGACCTTCCCACTCACACGATAAGTAAAATTCACTGACCAGTGGGTGGCTAGTCATCATGGTAAAATCGAATTCCGTGCACACCAAGCAGCCAGAGACACTGAGATAACAACAGGTAGCCAATTTTGCTTTTAGTCAGTCCTGGGACTTGAACTCAAGGTCTGGGCGCTGTCCCTCAGCTCTTCAGCTCAAGGCTGGCGCTCTACCATTTGAGCCACAGCACCACTTCTGGTTTTCTGGTGGTTCCTTGGAGATGAGAGTCTCACAGACTTTCCTGCCCGGACTGGCTTTGAACCACGATCCTCTAGATCTCAGCCTCCTGAGTGGTTGGGATGACAGGTGAGAGCCACCAGTACCTGGCTTTGTTCTAAGAGCTATAGGCACATCCTCGGCAGGTTGATTTGAGATTTCCCTCGGTGGTTGGTGTAGGAGCTCACAGCTCTAGGTTTCCCTCACAGCCCTGGCTCTGCTGTGTCTCACCAGAGCTGGTGTGTTCTGTGCTCATTCATATCGAATTCCAGGACCGTCTGCCTTTCCCTTCTCCTCTCTTCAATGGTCACCCAACAGGGATGTGTTCAGGATCCAGGATGCTGAGTGTTTTCTGCGATGGTTTTGTGCTCTGGTGCCAGTCAGCTCCAATTTTATTGCCTAGGGGGTCATTTGGGTTGGATTATTCATAAAATACATAAATAAACACAAATAGCTGGGGAAACCTGCAAAAAACAGTATGCGAAGTGAAGTAAACCAGGCCCAAAGAGACAAAGGGAATAGGTGTTCCCTCCCGTGTGGAAGCTAGATTTAGCTGACAAAGTTGGTAATACACACATGGGGCGGTGTGCCCACGTGTGCAAATGGATTCACAGAAACACCGTGGAGCCCAGGGAAAGCTCAAGAAGTGTTATTCCTTAGGAAATAATCAAAGTTTGACCAAATCAAACCCCAGGAAGCGGGGACTGGACAGAGGTGGACGGATGGAGAGGGGTGGACAGTTGGAAAGGAGAAGAGCGGGAGAAGGCAGCCAAGACTCCAGTGTGGATCCTCCAAAATGCAGAAGAGCGAGGGCAGGGGTGGGGGATGGGGAAAGGGGGACTGAATCAAGATGCATTGTGTCCATCAACTGCTCTGTCCAATGGCAGCTCCTTTGGACAACTACTTAAAGATAATTTTAAAAATTAAGAAATGTGTTACTTAATGTATTTTTTTCCAGATCCTTCTATGTCCCTGCAAGTGACATCATACCTTTCTTTCTGATGGATAAGTAAAGTTCCATGATAGATAGATAGATAGATAGATACATACATACATATATGCATAGATGTGAATATATATAGATATATATCAAAAATATGGACATATATTGATATTTACATATATATTCACATTTTCTTGATCCACTCATCCATTGTAGGGCATCTTGGCTGTTTCCATTCCTTGGCTAAGGTAAACAGCACAGCAATGAACATGGTTGTGCTGTTGGCTTTACTGTATCCTGAAATTACATGAAGTGAAGAAAGCCAGGCTCAGAGAGACAAA